TTTGCTCTTCTATTTCCCACTTTAAAATCATCTTACATAATCCTATTTTCATCTCTCCAACTTCCCCACTGTTTCCCAATTGAAATCACTCTCTTACCATAATAGATCAAAGGGAACAATAAAAGATTGGAGAACATGCTAGTCTTGTTAATTACTATAAATTTTAGTCCTATTATTATAGATTTTCATTTTATTTGTAGGAATATGCTAATCCTGTCTTTTTTTGTTACATAAATGCTAGTCTTGAGATTAATAGTGATTGATTGTTACTCCCATATATCTATTTTTTTCTAACGTTCAACCATATAGATTTTCATAGATTTTCATTTATTGAAAGAATCATTGTCAACATCTTAGCGAAGAACATCAGAATGAAACCAGAAAAATATTTCATCCATTTCCTTTCACCCGTGTATTCTAGGCTCCCTTTACAAAGGAAGGGGTTTTAATAGCAATAGCTTGTTCTAAGTGGCGGTGGAAAATGGAAGAACAAAAAGGTGTTTTAAAAGTTGATTTTGAAGTAGGGGGATTAGAAGAGAGGAAAATACAACTTTGTAAACTAATTTTAAAGTAGGGAATAGGAGACAGAAGAACGCAATCCGAGATGGAGGGCAAAATAGTCTTTATCATTATTTTTTTTTTTTAACTAACCTTTTGATATTTGGCATTCTTAGAATTAAACCGATCAGACCCAATAAAAGAAAATTTTTTTAACACTTATTCTTTTATTTATAAAATTTGAACTTGAAACTCAAAACCTTAAGGTAAAAGACTCAGACTAATAAGTCATTAGCACAAAATAGTCTCTATAGTAGAAGTAAAATGAGGGTAATCTTAATTTTCTCAAAAAAAAAAAAAATGAGGGTAATCTTAACAAAAAGTAAAAAATAAAAAACTTATAATTAAAACGGCTTTTTGTAAATAATTCGTTTTATATAAAATTGGGATTAGTGCTGGTCTGCTTTATTTCCAAAAAATTAGAAGGAAAAAAAAGATAAAAATCACCTTATACATGCTTTAAAAATAAGGTAGTTTAGTTTTTTTTAATAAAAATTTATTGAAACGATGTAGTTTTTTGATGATTTTCCTCCTAATCTTTAGGAAGTAAGGTTGATATGCACTATTTCTTATAAAATTAATGTTAAAAATAAAGTTTATTTTTATAATTTTTTATGGGGTTAGTACTTATCTGCCTTATCTCAAAAAAATTAAAAGATAAAAAAGATAAAAAAAAATACCATAATTCATGCTTTAAAAATAAGATATTTTAATTTTTTTCAATAGGTATTTATTAAAATGAAGTAGTTTTGAAAAAATATTCTTTCTAATCTTTAAGAGGTACGACAGATAAATACTATTATCATTTTTTATATAAATAAAAAATAAAAAATTAATAAATACACCTTTAACACAAAATTCTTTATTAAATTTTAATATCTTAATTAATACTCACAAACATGTGTTATAGGACACAAAATAAAAATTTTCAAAACATAAAACTTTATGATGGCAGACGAGTTACGACACAAGTTAGAAAATTCAAAACATGGAACCTCATCGTAGACGACGAGTCTTGAATATTGACCAGCGTCACTGTATACCAGTCTTACCTGCAACATCCAACAACAGCCCTCTCTTTGTGGAGTCCCCGCTACCCTGGCAAAGCCGAAGACGTTAACCAGTCAATTTATACTCAAAAGAATGCCTTGTGGATTAGGTTCTTTGAATTGTGGTTACCTCCATTGATGACAACAGGATTTGATTGGCGGGAC